GCTTGTTCTTCTATGTCAGTTCATCTCTTTCTCTGTCTGTCTCAGTCTGTACATTTCCCGTTCTCTCTCATCTCCTCTCTTTCCCTCTAAATAGAGAGATGGAGAAACTTATTAACTAAATGTTGCTTTTAGAAATATTTAATCTGTTTTAGCTTATCAAAGATGGTAAACAACGAATGAGAGTGGTCCTTTCATCACATCCTAATTCAATTCTTTTGTTTGTTGCTTAACCCATCATTGTACAAGGTACATATCGTACTTCATAAGTATTGTAGTTGTCTCCCATAAAGGCTATCATTATTGACAACACAACATCACCTTACCTTACTGGGGCCAGAGAGCATCACCATTAGACAGTCGAACACTAGGTATGTGTCGCTTGCTTAGACAAACTATGTTTCCAGTTATTTCGAGCAGACGCCTGCATTGCTACATGGAGGGGGATTTAGTGACCTTGCGTCTTGAAACAGTGATTTTTTTTATCACACGAAAATATTACACGAAAGGAAATGATTATATTTTTCTGTATTATAATTTAGACAATTTTGTAGAGTGACACAGATTACAGTTAGAAATTCAATTCTTAATCTGAGGCTGGCGTTTTCCATATTTGAACTGTCTATATATATATATATATATATATATATATATATATATATGTGTGTGTGTGTGTGTGTGTGTGTGTGTGTGTGTGTGTGTGTGTGTGTGTGTGTGTGTGTGTGTGTGTGTGTTTGCATGCGTATATGTGTATAAGGGAAACGTTCGCGATCCGAATCGGCAAAATCTGACGAAACGATTAAATGTCACAATTTTATGCGGAAAATAACTTGAACTTTTCAATACGTCTTCGTATTCATGATGGCTCTCGGTTCTGACCATTGCTGACAAATTGGATCAATGTTTTTGGTTCTTGTGAGAACGACAATTGCTCTTCTTGAAGCAAACAAGTGGCTTGCAATGCTAACTAAGTCATTCTAAACAAGGCTTGCCCTGTTTTGTAAATTCTGTTTAGTTTTTCCGTGGGTTTTCAGGTGACTGGTGAGACTGGAGCGGTTTCCACAGGTTTTCTGACATACCGTACATGTTAAGTTATTTACAGTGTAGTATTGATTGTAATTTGTGAAAGGTCTACAAATATGATTCTTCTTGTGGTTCTCCTGCATTGGAGATACATACTCTGTGACATTCATATGTAAATTGTTCAATTGCTGGACCATTGATTTCTCTTTTCCTAGCTGCACGCTTGACACTTGCCCAACTCACTGCGTGTTCTTGGAAGATCTTACTGTCTTAAAGAATTGCGCGCCTCCCGTTACTTCGATCACAAGCAGAGTTTTCCAACTATGGACAGCCACATGAGATTATTTTAAGCAGTCCTTAAAGCTCTTCCTTTGTTTATGCGGGTGTCGAGTACTGTAAAGCAACTTCGTTTGGGTATTCTGTTGTCGTCACGGCGAATGACATGGCCTGCCAGCGAAGTCCTTAGTAATGAATATGCGCTTCCATGCTGATTGTATTGGCCTTTTCGAGGACCACAGTGTCTGACATGTGATATATCCAGCAAATTGATCTTAAAGAACGTTGGTGGAATTTATCCAAAGTATATATATATATATATAGTTTGAAGAACCCGGCCTTCTAGCATATTGTAGACCTAAGAACCTAAAGGAAATTATAGGTAGTAACCACATTTCAGTGAATAAGGTATTCCGTAATGAACCAAAAATAAAAACAACAGGATATTCCCAACCATGTAACATCAAAAGGAGCTTATTTTGTAACCACATTAGACACACCAATTTTTTCACTAGTTTAGTCATTTAATCTACTTTCAAAATCTGCCACAACTCTAACTGTAGAAGTTATAACATAATTTGCCTCCTAGAATGCACACTATGCCAGAAACAATATGTGGTAAAATCTGAATAGCCATTTCACTACAGAATGAAAAATTATCGGAATCGAAATAAGTTGGCTCCCACGAGAGATTATTACTTGTAGAACAACATTTCAGCCCAGAAAAATATGATTTTAAAAGCCATGCCAAATTCACTATCATTGAAAAATAAACAAGTACAGAAAAGATAACATTAGAAAAATTTTAGAAGACGATCAAGACGGGCTTAATCACAGATTTAACAACATAAACAGAATTATTATATGACCCCATAAATCAAGTTATTCTTACAAAAAAGGAGGAATCCTAATTAAATCAATATCCTCCACTGCAGACATTTTAAAATGTATCAAAATTTTTTAAATTAATATCTTTATTTAGTTGCTATCGTATTGTGACAAATTAAACAGCTTAATGTAAATCCCTTATATACCAATTGACACACAATGTCATTTGCATTCAATGCATGTATATTTTATGAACTCTGGACAAAATTGTTTCACAAATTTGTCTGGTTGTGCAACACATCATACAAAAACTGCAAAAATATAATACAAACTTAAGCAGACTGTATTTTATTTCAATAACATTGCACACATACATATATATATATATATATATATATATATATATATATATATATATATATATATATATATATATATATATATATATATATGTAGGTAGGTAGTAATCCATTGGTATAAACTAGACGAGTCCTATTAACATAACATAGAATTTGAAATATGTTAAAAGACCACTCAATGTTTATTTTCATTAAACAGAGCAAATTTTATATATATATATATATATATATATATATATATATATATATATATATATATATAGGGCGTATGAGGATCAAGCAACTCAATTCCTAGGAACCGACAGCCCAGACACCAACAACACCCTTGAATACAGAGACATGGTGCACTACGTACCACAAGGTTTCCAAACGACTCTCCGCAGGTTTTGAATTCAGAGTTGTCCTTCTCCTTGACCAGTTGCCATCTAATTGTTATAGAACCCAATCTGTCCTGCTATTTACTTATAGCTGGAGGAAGAAAAAGATGATTCATAATTTTCCCCAAGGGTATTAGCAAGTCAATGAATGTAATGGATTCGACTGGAAATCGAACTCGGCTCTCCGATTCCTCAATACGAGCCGCTATCCACTACTCCATATATATTTGTAAATAGAGTAAAATAATAAATAATTCTTGCAGGTGTGTTACTCGGAGTGATCTGAAATAAATCCACGTATAAAATGCCTATAAATATCTATAAATATGTTGATGTGTCAACTGATTTTCTTATAGTTAGATTTTCTTAGTTTGAGTGTTATGAACTTATGTTGGCGCGAGCTTTGACTGACTATACTTAGGATAGATAGATAGATAGATAGATAGATAGATAGATAGATAGATAGATATGCAGATGCTATCACCATCCATGGTGTATTTGTATGTAGCGCTGTGATAAAATGACAAAGAATTTTGTGTTGGAGAGATAATAGCTTTTTAAGTTGTATTTCTCTTTCGCGGTAGATTGGAATTATGTGCTATGAGTCATGATGGTGTAATGTTTACACGCCCTAGGGAACATGGTAAATTGAAACAGTCCAAAGAACGTGGTAAATTAGTAAGTTTCGTGAGGCTGTCGGGTGGTCGTGGCGGCGTTAGAAGAGACAGCTTCACTTTTCTCCCTTTTTGTTGAACATCGCAAGGGACTCGCTTGAATCTAGGTCAAAAATTGTATTCGGGGGAGTAGACACACATCCCCACGTCCCTTGGGTAACGAATGACAATAAATCAGATTAGATGGAAATGTAACCAATGCTGGGTAAACATTTCAAGAAATCTTGAAGAGAAATGTCCCAAAATAAGGTACGTCAGTACATTAACGATATCAGATCGAGTAGAAATCTGGACATTGACTCAAATGTATGCACTGATATATACATACACATGCTCCTCCTCTCTCTCTCTCTCTTTATACATACATATATATATATATATATATATATATATATATTCCTCATTCAGTCACTCACACACCCATAGACGCATATCACTAAATCATTTAATCTATATATTACAGTAGATACATCCGTAGACAAAACCCTCCGAGATATGCACTGTATGAGAGCACATATTTTGTTGAACGAAAATTAGCGTTCTAGTTGCGGAAGCTATTATTAATGAGGACGTTCCCATCAATATATAAGTTCAGAGGTCATATGCCAAAATTGGTACATTGAACATACTCATTCTATCTCTTTCTGTACAAACACACACATACACATACACAGACACTTACGCTCGCATATATATATATATATATATATATATATATATATATATATATATATATATATATATATATATATATATATATATATATATATATATATATATATATATATATATAATTCAAACGTTATTTCTAGAGGATACCCGTATTTGAGAGACGCCTCGTTTACTTTTAAACATTATTCATAGTATATCTACGGGCTTGCGTACTCGAAAAACTTTATTAAGTTTTTCAAGTGCACGTAAACGTACCCTTCCCCTTTGCAAGAGGAAAAACCTTTTGATCCAGCATGCATAGAGCGTCACAACAGAGGTTCTACCTTTATATATATATATACAGAGAGAGAGAGAGTTTTATGTTAAACTATATTTATGGATCAAAGTGCTCAATATTAGGGATGAACCGCATGTATATATATAAAATTGAAGCCAACACTCAGCGACAGTCTTCAGGCCATATGTGTCGTATTTGGCTTGACTATATATGATGGTCAATCGTGCAATATGAGTAAAAGGAATATTGCATTATCCTAACAGTTATTGAGTAGGCTGTAACGGTTATGTTTTAGATTATTTTTTTTATTATTTTGCGAAGATTTTAAGGCATCCGTGATCTGCGAACTCGCCCGTCTCAGGGTGGCTTCCGCTCAGTCAGAGGCTGTATTGATCAGATCTTCAGCCTGTGGCGCATCCTCAAACGACGCTTGGCATACCAGCAACCAACAGTCCTCTGCCTCGTCGACTTTGCGGCTGCTTTTGACTCCGTTAATAGAGGCTCACTCTGGCGTATCATGGAGGCCGATGGCATGCCCGCTAAACTTCTTCGTCTCATTAAGGGCTACTACCGGTCGACGCGAGCCCGTGTTCGTGCTTATAGTGAGGAGTCGGAGATGTTTGAGGTGAAGACTGGTGTGCACCAAGGGTGTGCTCTATCCCCTACCCTATTCAACTATACAATCGAATACATCCTCGGCAAGGCCCTTCGGGACTACGCTGGAGTTGCGGTTGGTCGGAATGTCAGGGTGTCTGATCTGGCCTACGCGGACAACATTGTCTTGGTCGGATCGAACTGTGATGATGTGCAAGCTGCGCTCAAAGGCGTGCAAGCTGCGCTCAACCGTGTGCAAGCTGCAGCACGGGATGTGGGTATGACCATCAATGCCTCGAAGACCAAAATTATGCCATCCCTGGTTGATCCAGTCAACTGGCAGCCACTGACGCTGGCCGGGGTCAATCTGGAGGACGTGCAGTCTTTCGTCTATCTCGGTTCAACCATTATACCATCCGGACAGGTTGCTGCTGAGGTTGAACGCCGTATAGGAGCTTCAAGGTCCACATTCGTGCGTCTCAAGCGGTCGCTATGGCGGCGACGGGAGATTTTCACGGCTACGAAGAGGCGCATCTATCAGGCTATTGTTCGGACTATCCTTTTCTATGGCTGCGAAACGTGGCCACTTAGAGCGGTTGATCTACGAAGGCTTGAAGTGTTCGACAACGATTGCCTTAGCTGCATTCTACGATGCCGCCGAATCGATCGTGTGCCCACAGCCACTCTGCGTCGTCGCCTGAGTCTCTGTCTTCTTCCACCTGTCCTGCTCCAGCGTCGTCTTCAATGGTTCGGGCACGCAGCTCGACGCCCGGAGGGAGAGCTCATCCGCGATGTACTTCTCCCCACTTCTCTTCTTGGCTGGCGAAGACGTGTCGGTGGGCAGCTGAAGACGTGGGCTAGTACAATCAAGGATGACCTAGCAGTACTATCGGGTCCACAAGTAGTTGGTCTTCGACGATGGAATCGCGATTGGCCCGCCATTTCGCGTGACCTGGCTCAGGTTCGGCGAGCGTGGGCAGCGATGGTCCGTGATGCTGTACTTGCTCGGGAGAAGCCGGTTCAACCCGACCAGGGTGAAAACCGATACAAGTAAAGTCAAGTCATGTTCTCGGCGTCACTGTAGCTGATTTTTACTGTATTTTTGTTGAATATCTTCTGGAAAATTTGTGATGTGGGGGAAGAGTTTGTGTGAGTTTAACGAATATGTTCCTACGTTTGTTTTTTGCATCATATGGTTCAACCCATCGTACAAAAAAAAAATGTAAAACACACACGAACATATATATATATATATATATATATATATATATATATATATATATATATATATATATATACAGAACAGATGGAGTAAAACTCCACAGTTCTTAGTATTTACTGTTAAAGAAATGTGCTCAATACAAAGTAGAGCAAAATATAATATTTTTATTATAATATATTATACTAAAACATTTCATGTCGTTACACAAAAGCTTTCATGTTTCAATACTATGATTGAAACACGAAAATATTATTATATATATATATATATATATATATATACGTTGTGTCTCTCTGCACCTATAACATTTCAGTGGAAAATTGTAACCGACTTTTGTTGCATTTTTCCCCTAACTTTTCCTTCCCCATTTCTGCTTATCATCAATATAAGCGTTTTTAGTCTGAAAAAGTTCCTAGAACGAAACGTGTCACAAATAAGTGTTTCATCTTGCTACTATTTTTGGGAAAAAGAGGCGAAAGAGAGGACAAGGAGAATGAAAGAGGAAACTTACTTGTCTTGTATTTTGTCACTTCGTAGATGTCGTGGATTTAGGTCAAGCACACACACACACACACACACACACACACACACACACACATATATATATATATATATATATATATATATATATATATATATATATATACCCAAGTATATAATTGGTGTATACGGAATGGATTCTAATAACCAACAATTACTATTTTTAAAAGAGTGCTCAATACAAGATATATATATATATATATATATATATATATATATATATATATATATATATATATATATATATATATATATAATTATTTTTAATAAAAAAAATTTATAACATAAATATGTAAATTTATAATATAAATATGATCGGATATTGTAGCGTAACGTAATTTCAACGAAGAAATAAATTGAATAACATATGTATTTTTTCTTTTCTCCTCAGTAATTTTATAGTTTTTAAACTTAATAGTAATTAAATTTGGATTTTAAAATTGGCAGTTTTTAATTTTAATATCAAATTTTATCATATAATTTAATAATTATTGGTTAGAATAAATTCTTTTTAAAATTACCCGTATTTTAAAGATCTGAATAGCTATTATAACATGATTTCGTTGTCAAGATTTTGAATCTTCCTATACTTGGGTTTTGATTGGTCATTCTAGCTTTTGTAACAATGTTTTCCCCCTAGCGAAGCATCGTTAATTAATTTGAAACATTTAAAACCATTTATTTTATATTCAACATCATTACTTGATAAGACACCGAGGGTGTTGAAACGAAATGGCTATTTTGTAGTGATTTTTATAACATATTTATGTTATAATTTTTTTTATTAAAATAATTATATATATATATATATATATATATATATATATATATATATATATATATATATATATATATATACAAGTGTTTATGTGCGTACGTGTGTTTGAGACTTTAATACTTCGGTAATATTTGCTGATTGTTAATTTAGTCGAAAGATTTATAAATGATTATCTTGTCCATTTCTCTTACAGCTGAATGCTTTAAAATCTTAGATGAAAGAAACGAATGTTTAATAAGATATTAACTGCTAAAATAGCAATGAATTGCTTTTACTTGACGACTTTTGAACAAAACACAGTTTCTTTGAAGTTACATTTTTCCTGATTCGCTAATAATGCAGAACACATCTTTTATCTGATTACCTAAGTCAAAAATGTACGTCTACTAAAATAAAAGCAAACATATCTCAACTTATTCTATTGTTTTTAATGTGCCAAGTGGTCTTTGGTATTAACTAATATTTTAGTAACAGATACCATCTTCCCGATGCAAATTTTATCTTCAAACACAGCCATTTTAACAGAATTAGAAATCATAAAGAAAAACTTTTTTCGATTATCTGTCTATATTTCTTCAGTGAGCGAAATAAAGGGTTGAGTTTGACATTCCAACCACCTGAAGAAAGTCAGAGCGTACAACGGCCGAAACGTTGTAATAAATATGGCGACAAAGATGAGGACAATAGTCCGAATAATGTAAATAATGTATTTTTTCGATTATTCATTGACAATTTCAATTTTTTTTACTGATACTACTTACTTATTACTGATTAATGTTTGTTCTTCCATTCATAAATATATAATGACAAGGAATAAAATAAAATAATTCACTTCTCTAATTATTTTCACAAATAAATGATATATATATATATATATATATATATATATATATATATATATATATATATATATATATATATATATATATAGTAAAGGTAATAAATCTGTTAGTCTATAATCCAAGTGGATCCTAGTAATATAAATTATTAAAAGTAACCCGCAAAAAGAGCTCAATGTATTTATTATAACAGAGCCAATAAATAATATTACACAACAAAATCCAAAATTGCCGAAAGAGTTAAGGTTAGGGTTAGTTAAAGTAAAATCTATATTATGGAAATTTGTTTTTATGTCGACATTTTCAAACTAATTCATTCTTTTGATTCAATACTGTGCTTTGATTATTGTATTTTATTATCTTTTTTTCTGGTATTGAACACTCGTGTAATTGTAGGGATAAAGAATGTTGTCCAGTTGAGGCAAAATGCAGTTCTACTAGGGTTATATACCAAGAAACCATTTCTCCCAAAGGAAATATGTTAAATTATAATGTTCACATTGAAATTTCCCCGGGGTAATTGAAACAGAGATTTTACACATCTTTATCTATATATTTTTAAGTTTTTTTTTTATCTTATTATATTTTTTATTCTTAAATATGTTTTTATTCTTTAATATATATTTTAAAAATATTAATTATAACTTTTTAAAAATATATTCTCACTTAAATTTAATATAAAATACCTAAATATGACTTACGTTTTATTTTTTAAATATATCTTTTTTTTAAGTATAATTTATCTTTAGAAAAGTGTTTTTAAGTAAGAACTTGTAATTTTAAACCTAACCTTATCTATATAATATTTTTTAGGTCCGATTTTAGTTTTAACTTAACACTTCATTCTTCATATTACCCAATGCAATGGCATAAAGTTAATATCCGGGTTTATTTTTATAAAACCTCTTGCCTTTAAGGCTAATACCTTTCACCCTCTCTTGACCAACTGACTCACGCATTTCGTCTGACTGAAACATTTAAATGGATAAATTCTGTATTAATTTTTCGTCGGTTGTCATAGTTAAATTTCTAATTCAGACAATTACTCAGTCTATACACTGAGGTTGAATAAAACTGACAAAGCTTTCGTCAGTTGAAATAGTACTATCCCAATATGAGGTAATTTGGATTTTGTGTAATACTATATATACATATATATATATATATATATATATATATATATATATATATATATATATATATAGAGAGAGAGAGAGAGAGAGAGAGTCTGAAGTTCTCTTGAGGTGAGAAAATGGCATTCACAATGCAGTATTGATTTCTATGTATACAATTTTAATAATTCCTATATTTACAAAATTTGTCTCTGACATGAGCACTCTTTCCTCATAATATAACAAATTGTAAACAACACACGTATTTACTCTTTTGCTACACACACACATATCCATACACGCACGAACACAAACATACACACACACACATTCATCTCTTCTGACCAGCGTTTTGTTAATAATTGATATATATATATATATATATATATATATATATATATATATATATATATATATATATATGTGTGTGTGGGGATGCTACATCTGTGTGTATGAGTGAAGTGAACATTTCAGTTTCCAACGAAAAAGGCCGATAAATTTTTAACACTTCACACACACACACATACACACACACACGCGCGCGCGGGCGTTATTGTCTCTATTTCGTAACTCTTAACTGCAGTAGAATCTTTATTGCAAGAAATGGAAGGTTTATCATAAAGCCATAAATTAAAACTCTGTCAATCTCTTTCATCGTTATGTCA